GTGGCCCAGGCAGGTCCATTCGACCACCGGGCGCCCAAAATCGACGGCTTGGGAAGGTGCCTGGCCCAGGCACCTTTGCCAGGGTTAGCAGCCCTATATGGCCTGTTTGGTTTGCTCCTGGCCAGAGCTGCCTGGCCCAGGTAGAGCTCCCCGGCGTCCGATTTTGGATGCCTAGCAGGCACAAGGCAAAAACCAAACAGGTCTATATAGCTCTGGGGAAGGGAAGGTCGTGTGAACTAGCATGGGAATATGAGCGACTTTGAAGCACGCCTGCAGTTTCGTCGCTTCTTCCTCTGGAGGCTTCGTTGACCCTTGTTGCAGGTGAGTCTCATGAGCAGGTCTGCTTTGGACCGTGCTGCATGACGGTTTTTCAAATTGAGGATGACAAGTAAATGTGTGGCCCTTGGGCAGGGCGCTTTATTGTGTGTTTTGTTTTATGTTACTAAGATACTCCACTACTATGGTTTGTAATAATAATCATACTTAGTTTGTAAGATTTGAAACAATCGGTTTGTAAACTAAGTTATTGTAAGACTTCCGCTATTTCACTCGGATGCAAATTAATGAATAAACTGTTGTAATACTGCAATGACTCTGTAATGGATCCTGCTCAGAAAAATCGTGGATGATTCGGGGTTCTCCGAGGACACCCGACAGTCTTCTTAAGTTACCGGGAACATATGCATAGTCGTCAGAGGTCATTGGACAGTGACAGGTGCATGTGGCCCCTATAATTTAGGAGGTTCTGCCACAGAATGGTATCAGAGCGATCATTACAAAGTTTTTGTTGTATTGTTTTACAAAAACTTCAAAATGATTTGGGACAAACAAATTTAACTTGTTAATTTGGTCCAAATTGCTTCCGACTTATCTTTTTCATTCTCGCCATTCCTTATTTTGATTAAAAAGGCTTTGTATGGTGGAGTAGTAATATTGTTATGCCCTATATAATAAAAACTATTGTTTAAGTAAAATAGGAGTTTTGATGTTTAAGTTTCGTAAGGACGATTCATGCATCATGATTAATCCACTAGTTACTTACTGTTCCCCTTAGTCTGGGTTGAGTAGTGAAATCCATCCTTGCTGCTCTTTAAACTTTTATCAGATCGTCTTACTTTTATTAAACCTTGCTTTCGACAGTATGGCTCGTACCAAGGTAACACCCCTTAAGTCCGTTGGACCCAAAGGAGTTCCTCGTCACCAGCTTGCCCCTATGAGTGACGGTGCTAGCAGTAGCAGCTTTAGGCCTGATCTCCAGGCTGAGATACAGAGGCTTTCAGCAGAATTAGCACAGGCTACTTAGAGATAGGGCCTTGGATGCCATCCAGGTGGGCAAGTTACAGGATCAATTGAGGTGTCTCACCACCGCTCATAAGAACTGTGAGCGTATGTTAGTCCGTATGGTGGAAGGAAGAAATGAGGCTTGGCATAGAGAAGATGTAGCTAGAGCCCGAGCTCATGAGTTAGAGTTCTATGTAGAAGACTTAAAAGAATATTATACCAATCTGCATGAAGAAATCCATAGGCTGAACAATCTCTTGGATCCAAATTATGAGCCTCAAGCAGATGCAATGGACCCAGGTGTCATCATAGCAGATGATGATGAACCGGAAGAGGAAGAAGAAGATCCAGAAGTAGTAATGGTCAATGAAAGCGATAATGAAGGCGGAAATATTTCTGGGATGGATACCAATCACGAGGTATGAGGTGATCGAGGAGAAGAGTAGAGTTGTAAAATAGTGAGTTCTAGTTAAGTTGGGTAGTCTGGCTTAAGTGCAATTTGTGTATAAATAAGTGAACCCAATGTAATGTGTTTGTAATAAGCTGTTTTAATCGTTCAATAAAGGCTTGTGAGTAAAGTTTGGTTTGTTATGAACAAATGCGTCGTACTCGGGGTTTGACTATTCCTGGTTCTTCGCAAGACGAGGATGGTATTCCTGATCCGCCACCAGTTCCGCCAAATTTGGCTGATGCTATCATGACAATAGTCAATGTATTCATTGATAATGCTCGGTTGCTTCGGGAGTTAGCTCAAAGCAATCAAAATATGATGCAAGGGAACCGTGGTCGTAATCATCAAAGGCAAGAAGCTACGTATGTTGACTTCACGGATACACGACCACCAGTATTTACCAAGGCTGACGAACCACTTGAAGCTGATGATTGGCTTCGTACCATGGAGCAGAAGTTTGACCTCATTCCATGCCTTCGAGTTTTGAAGCTTTGCTTTTTCGCCCAATGACTTAGAGGTGCGGCCGAAGCTTGGTGGGCGAACCTTGTGGCTATGCAACCAGCCGGTATTGATTAACTTGGGTGAGTTTCCTTACCGCTGTGCCCATTATATTAGGAGGAGTTATGGCCATGAAGCTTGATGAGTTTCTTGCTTTAAAGCAAGGTGATCAAACAATCATGCACTATGTGGGCAAGTTCAATCACCTTTCACAGTATGCACCTGAGCATGTTAACACAGATGCCAAGAAGAAGAAGTGGTTCATGCGTGGCCTTAATACCAAACATCAGACCATGATGACTACACCGCACCAATGTCACGTATCATGAGGCGATTAACATTGCTATTGCCGGAGGAGAAATATCGGCGATATAAGGAGATTAAGAAGAAAAAAAAGCGTGCCATCCGGATCTTTCGGTGGTAATCAAAAGAGGCGAAGATAATCTATCATCCAGTGAATCACTATCGTCCTCCTTATCGTCCGCCATGATTCCAAGCCGGTCAACGACCAAATGTAAAATCTGTCGTGACTTATCCAAACTCTAGTGATCAAATGTTCACGGTGTTTCGTGCTCCAACACCCCAAGGCCACAATTACCCATGTTTCAATTGTGGAAAGTCCGGTCATTTCTCTAGGGAATGTCCAGTATCCTAAGATATAATCCAAATTTTTGAAGGCTCCGGAAATCAACAATGAGGTCAAGCTCGAGAACAAGAACAATAACCAAAAGGCTCGGAAGGGCAAAGATGAAAAGAAGATGGGGCGGGTTTTCTATACTCAAGTGGGGAGATTCGGAAGGGAACCCGTGATCTTTGGGTATGTTTCGTCAGCCGATCATCCTGCAGATTATGCTTTTTGATTCTGGTGCATCTCATACATTCATCAATAGAACCTTTGTCATAAAGCATTAAATTCCAATTGGGGCAAACAAAGGAAAATTTCTATATCTGATGATCCTGGGGGGCGATACATTTACTAAGGAAATGGTGTACCAGGTATGCATAAACCTGGGTGGGCACATTTTTTCCACCACCATGATTATTCTAAAAGATCAGGATATAGATGTGATCTTGGGAATGAATTAGATGTATCGACATAAAATAAAGTATTGTAGATACTTTGAATAGAACAATAAGGTTGAGTTTGCCAGATAGTAATTCTCAGCTTCTTATCCAACTTCCAATCTTAAAGAGATCAGTGGAAAAAGTTTGTGCAACTTCCGTCAAGGAGATTAGAGATATCCCTGTAGTTTGTGAATTTCCAAATGTTTTTCCTGAAAATTTACCCGGTCTACCATCTGATAGGGATGTTCAGTTTAACATAGATCTAAAACCTGGAACAGCTCCGATCTCTAGGAGAGGTTATAGGATGCCTCCCAAGGAATTAGCCGAGTTGAAGACTCAATTGCAAGAGTTGATTGATAAGGGGTTTATCCAACCTAGTTCGTCACCTTGGGGATGTCCTGCATTTTTTGTGAAAAAGAAGGATGAGACCCTGAGATTGTGTGTTGACTATCGTCCATTGAATGAAGTGACAATTAAAAATAAATATCCCTTACCTAGGATAGATTTACTTTTTTGATCAAGCTGGCGGAGCTAAAGTTTTCTCCAAGATTGATTTGAGGTCAGGTTATCATCAAATCAAAATTAAGCTGAAGATATTACCAAAACGGCATTTACCATCATATATGGATTATATGAATACCTGGTAATGTCTTTTGGTTTGATTTAATGTCCCAGCTCATTTCATGTATCGATGAATTCAATATTCATGCACGAAAGCTGGACAAATTTGTCGTGGTCTTTATTGATGACATCTTAGTATATTATAAGAACAAGAAAGAACATGCTGAACATGTCGAGAAAGTTGAGTTTTGTTATTCATGTCCGTGTGTTTTTAGGCTGAGACGTAGCTAGCATGTTGGGAGTGCTAAAATTTGCTAAATGGCGGTAGCCCAGCTGAAAAGAATTTGGCATCCTTTATCGACTAATCTAGTCCAAGTACAAATGATTGATTCGCAAACACAACATGTCAGAGCAGTTGGTATGCGCACGTTTCAGTCAATTATTTTCTGATCTTTTTAGTCCATATATCTATGAATGATGGCTGCAACAAATTCTGCTTAAATATATATGTATAAGCTTACTAAATGCCCGTGACTGAATTGGTTTCCATTCGGTCAATGCACATCTGCAGAGATTGTGTTCAATTCCTACTATGCGTGTTCGTATACTGTTTAGTGTTTGTAAAAGGTTTGAGGTGTGTGTTCTGAAGAAAAACAAAATGCATGCTACGAGATTTGAAATAAAAACAAAGCATATTTTTTGATGATCTGCGATTAGCCGATCAGGACTGCCTGGACATATACTGTGTTTTGACATTTCCCAACTACTAATGCAGAGATGCGTGCCATCCCTCTCGGCCATGCTGTTCAACTCGGTTGACTCGGCGGCGACCATGAAGCTCGCCGTTCCTCTCTCTCTTGAGTCTACTCAGTCGTCGACCTCTGCTCAGCACCAGCCTGGGCCCCTGCTACCAGTTGCCATGGGAGCAGGGCACGTTTTACCTTGAGCGTATCAGCGCAGGATCCTTTGTCACCATGGCTGCTCACCCAGATGGCTCAGGCCGAGTCTTCTTGTCCAGCCAGGACGGAAAGATCTGGCTGGTCTCAATGCCTCATCAGGGATCTGGGTGACCCTGCATTCTGACAGTCCGTTCCTTGACATCTCGGATCGAGTGCACCATGATGCGGTGCTCGGACTGGTCGGCATGGCGTTTCACCCAGAGTTCATGACCAATGGACGCTTCTTCGTCTCATACAACTGTGACAGCAGCACCTCACCGGTCTGTGGTGCCGGCACGTGCTGGGGTTCTGCTGCGGAAATGGCTCCCAGCTGTGCAGGTATCAGCTTGTCGTCTCCGAGTTCTCTGCTAAAGGTGGCACTGACTATTCGAAGGTAACAGATTTCCCTTTCTATTTCTATGAGTCCTATTCACTTAAAATGGAATTAGATTTTTGAGTAGTACAAAGTACATAGATGTTGTAGGAACCTGAAGATTCAAGGATTGCCTATTGCTTTGCTCTAGTTAATTTTCTGCTCGTTCATCTGCATATTATAATTTCAATTTGCTAGGCAACTCGCGCTTATTCATCAGAAGTGAGGAGGATCTTCACCATGGGTTTGCCCTACCCGCACACATCATATTCCTACCAGCATCATGGCGGACAGATCCTGTTCGGCCAAGTGACAGCGATGGATATCTGTACCTAGTTACTGGCAATGGTGATTTCTCAAAGAAGCGGGAGGTCATTTTTGGCAAAATCCTAAGGTTCTATGTTGGAGGTATGGCAGGTATGCAAGCGCTTCAACATATCCTTATTATCTACCAGCATGTGTCATTATTGCTCTGTGGTTTCAGGTTCATTTGTCTACCTGTGATTTCCAGGAGAAAACAGATGGACAAGTGACCGTGCCACTCGAGATAGAGAAGCCAGAGATCTTTGCTGCGGGTCTGAACAACCCAAACGGATGCAGTTTCGACTCCAACAGGCCTGCCTACTTGTACTGTGCGGACGTCAATGAGGTACAGATATACTACATGCTTATCTTTTTCATTGAGCATTCATTCTGGTCAGCTATTGATTCGAATCTGAATTTTCCTGAAAATTGATATGCAGAAAGCAGTGCGAGCTAGTGCATCTTATCACGAGGGGTAGAAACTACAGTGGCTCCTCAATGAAGGTGACTGTCTCCACATCATCAACCACGGCCGTCCGCTGATGGCAGGATGCCATCGATCGTTGGTGGTCTCATGTATAGAGGGTCTGCAGATCCCTTGCTGAAAGGAAGGTACAGAGATGATAAACATATCACTTTGCTGTGTAATTGGTTCGTACAAGGTACACTGTACTCACATGTCTGATCATGTTACATTACATGTGCTTGGATGTAGGTATCTGTATGTTTATGCCTCCAGTGTGTGGGCTGGCGTGGATGCCCTTGAGAGCAGGAGCAGCAGGCGCAGCGCCTCTGCTCAGGTCCCCATCGTCAGGTGCTCCAGGAGCAGCCCTGTGCCCTGCAATGGCTTCATCGGCATCACTGGGCGTGTGCTGTCCTAGACGCCTTCGTCCTCGCCACCAGAGGCGTGTTCCGACTTGTTCCACCCAGCCTATGCGGCGTCACTCAGCCACTGCCGCAGCCTGCACGTGGTGCAGGCTGGGTGCTGTCCGTGTTGGGATATGCGCTGTTGTTTGCGCTCTACCTGGTCTGGATGACAGTATTTGGCGGCGGAGGGCAGATTAAGAGAAGCTGTAATGAGTGCTTCCGCGAGATCAGTTGCTGCACCTTTTATTTCTGGGGAACCCGCAAGAGATCAGCTCGTATTACTAAGAAAAAGAGGGTGAGGTGGACATGGGAGCTTGCTGCATGAGGGCGAGTGGACAATGGAGAACTGTGCTTGATGCATGCCGAGACTTGCCAGGCATATAAGGGCTGTTTGGTTTGTAGCGTGGCCCAGGCAGGTCATTAGACTGCCGGGCGCCCAAAATCGACGGCCTGGGAAGGTCCCTGGCCCAGGCACCTTTGCTACTGTTGTTAGTAATAATGTCACTGCTATTGTTGTCAGTAGTAATATCACTAGTGGAAAACAGACCTTTGATCCTCGGTCAAAATGGGTTCTAGTCCCGGAATTTTTTGCGTCCGGGACTAGAGATACCTTTAGTCCCGGTTGGTGGCTCCAACCGGGACTAAAGGTTCCTGCCCAACGGCTACTGCGCCAAACAGAGGTGGCAGTGACCTTTAGTGCTGGTTGGAGCCACCAACCGGGACTAAAGGTAGACTTTTACTCTCGGTTGGTGGCTCCAACCGGGAGTAAAGGTCTACTCCCGGACCGGGGGTTGGAAAGTTACCTTTAGTCCCGGTTGGAGCCACCAACCGGGACTAAAGGTCCCCCTTTATATCCCGGCCGTCTCCTTCTTCCTCCCCGAGCCCGAGCTCAGCACATTTTGAAGCTCACTGCACTAGTGTTCTTGCTTCCTCCCTCTATTGTTCCTCCATCCATTCTTCGATTCCTCCATCGATTTCTTCGATTCCTCTGTCGATTCTTCAGTCGTAAAGGTTACCAATCTCATACTCTCATTTTTCACCATTGTCTTATCTCATTTTGTTCACTATATATATATGGTTCTTTATTGTGTTTTTTTTTTCATTTGTAAGCAATTTGAGCTCAAAATCACTTCAAGCTTGCATATTTACATGAAAGAAGGTTAAAGTAGCTAGTTGAACTTGCGGACCGTGTTCATCTCGGCGAGCATGTTCTCTGCCGAGCGATAACGGACGTCAAGGATGAGCTTTGATTCTACGAGGGAGAGCGGCAACGGTCGTGGAAGACCGTGTTCCCTTCCTCGTAGAATCGGAGCTCTTCCGTGGCCAAGTACGGTATCGTCCGGTGGAGAAATGCTCGCCGAGATGATCACGTAAGCAAGGTCAACTAGTACGGATGGTTATTTATTCACACGTCCCGATATCGTCGCAGTAGTTTGTCAATCATCGTACCCAAACGTAGTATATATATAAATATAAACGATAATCGATTGTTATGTGTGTACACTCCCATTCTTTTGTTAATTTGTGGAAATATCATATGAATTACTTACCTACCGCAGTAAAAGACGAGAACACAATGACCATGGCCACGGCAAGCAGAGCAGTGTTAAACGCTATGAAATCTTTAAACTTCAAGTTTGCATATTTACATGAAGGAAGGTTAAAGTAGCTATTAAAAACTAGTATTCACCGTTCATTTGTAGCGTGCATAGCACACTTCATTGTTTAGAGATATAGAGAATTTTAGAGTTTTTTTAATTTTATTTGTTTATAAAATGAGAAATTTATAGTGTATTAAAAATGAGTATAGAGAGTAGATGACAACTGCTTCCGGGTCCTCGGTCTCTCATGGGTTTCCAAAGCGACTTAGGCCGGGCCTCCCACTCATTGCATGCGACAAGTGTTGTGATGAGACGAAGATTGTGATGGAGTACCGAGTGAAAAAGGAGGGTCCTAACAAGGGTCGTATTTTCTACAAGTGTCCGGATCACAATGTGAGTTATTTTATCGTATTTAATGACTATGGTTAGTTTATACCTATTTTCATGATGGTTGTGATTAAAGTTCTAATTTTACTGTTTTAATTTAAATTGGGATGGCCTTTGGATGTTAGAGCTTCTCTTGGGAGGAAGAGTATCTTTGAACTCGTGCAAAAATATCTTACTGTGATGAGATATGGCGGCTAATGAGGCGATGATCCGGTAGAAGAAACCTAAAGATGTTGAACAAGCGGGGATCATGCATTTTAGTTGGGATTGGTCATGAAATCCTTGTCTTTCTTTGAAGTGCATTTTAGCTTTAGTGTTTTTAGTGGTAGTTGGGATTATCTACATTGTAGCGAGGATTTCTTAAATTTATAACTTTTGTGGTGGTATGCATGTTGTATAATTAACTAATTATGTTCTAGGTTTTAATACGGTATTTATGTCATGTAATACAGATGAGTCGGCATTGGATGTACAATGCTGATCGTCGCTCCCAAGAGTTCATGGACGGCGTGCATTCTTTGTTACGTGCGGCCGAGGCAAACAAACGCGATGATTTCATGTGCGGCCCATGTGCCGTATGTAAGAATACGGTGGAATATCCTTGCTCAAGGACTCTTCATTCACACTTGTTCAAGTCAGGTTTCATGCCAAACTATATTTATTGGACGAAGCACGGAGAAACCGGCGTTGTAATGGAAGAATATGAAGAAGAACAATGGGACGACAATGATATTATTCCCGATGGTGCGTGCTTCAATGATACTGCAATAGGAGAAGCTGAAGAAGAGGTAGCCGCAGAAGATGAGTCTGCTGATGATCTTTGTCGAGGTCATTCGTGGCCTTTACAAAGAGAATGTGAAAGTGAAAAGGAGAAGATCAAGTTCGAAAGCGGATGCTAGAAGATCACAAGAAATTGTTGTACCCAACTTGTGATGCGAGGCGAGAAAAAGTTGGGAACCACACTAAATTACTTGCAATGGAAGGCAAAGAATGGTGTATGTCGATAAGGGATTTGGAGAGTTACTAAAAATCTAAAAGAAGATGCTTAGAAGGACAATGAATTGCCCGCCACTACCTACTGAAGCAAAACAAGTTGTATCGTCCTATGGGGCTAGAAATCGAGAAGATACATGCATGTCCTAATAACTGCATCCTCTACCGTGGCAAAGAGTACGAGAAATTGGATGCATGCCCGGTATGCCATGCATCGCGGTATAAGATCAGACGAGATGACCCTGGTGATGTTGAGGGTGAACGTCCGTGGAAGAAAATCCCTGCCAAGGTTATGTGGTATGCTCCTATAATACCACGCTTGAAACGTCTGTTCAAAAACAAAGAACATGCAAAATTGTTGCGATGGCACAAAGAAGACCGTAAGGTAGACAATATGTTGAGACACTTTGCTGATGGGTCCCAGTGAAGAGCAATCGACAGAGAATTCCCGGAGTTTGCAAATGACGCAAGAAACTTAAGGTTTGCTTTAAGTACATATGGTATCAATCCTTTTGGAGAGCAGAACAGTAGTCATAGCACTTGGCCCATTACTCTAAGTATCTACAACCTTCCTCCTTGGTTATGCATGAAGCGGAAGTTCATTATGATGCTGTGCTCATCCAAGGCCGAAGCAACGACAATGACATCGATGTGTACACGAGACCACTTATTGACGAACTTCTCATTTTGTGGAATAAAGAAGGTGTACGTGTGTGGGATGAGTACAAGCAGAACACTTTGATCTGCGAGCATTGTTGTTCGTAACAATCAATGATTGACCTGCTCTAAGTAATCTTTCGGAGACGATCAAACAAGGGATATAATGCATGCACACCTTTGCCGGTGATATTAGAGGTGTATTCTTGAAAAAATGTCGAAAGGTCATGTACCTTGGCCATCGTCGATTTCTTCACGCAAATCACCCCGTAAGAAAGAAAGGCAAGCATTTTAAAGGGAAGGCGGAGACCACGACCAAGCCTCGCATAACCCGAACCGGTGAGGATGTACTCGATATGGTCAATGATGTGAAAGTCGTCTTTGGAAAATGACATGGCAGCCAACCTATTCGAACAATGCTAACGGTCACGCACCCATGTGAAAGAAGAAGTCCATATTTTGGGAGCTACCCTATTGGCAAGTCCTAGAGGTCCACAGCTCGATCGACGTGATGCACTGACGAAGAATCTTTGTGTGAACTCGCTAGGCTTCATGGGTGTGTATGGAAAGCCTAAGGACACATTTGAAGCACGACGGGACTGCGTTGTTTGAGAGAAAGAGACAACTGCATCCGAGAGAAGGCAGATGATGGACGCCATTACTTACGATCCTGCCGACCACGCTCTAAGCAAAGAGGAGAAGGAAATCATGTTTGAATGCTTAAACAACATCAAGGTACCATCTGGATTCTCCTCGAATATAAAGGGTATTATAAATGTGCGAGAGAAGAAATTACGTAACTTAAAGTCCCATAGTATCACGTTCTCATGGCCATAATTACTTCTAGTTGCATTAAGAGAATTCTATCTCCAAATGTCGTCTAGCCACCGTGAAGCTATGTGCATTCCTCAATGCAATTTCTCGAAGGCAATTGATCCAATTGATCTAGCTAAACTACAGAATGATATGGTTCAATGTCTGCGTCGACTTTGAGTTGGTGTTCCCTCCTTCCTTCTTTGATATCATGACACACCTCCTAGTTCACCTAGTCAAGGAAATTTTCATTCTCGGTCCTATGTTCCCTACAACATGTTCCCCTTAGAGATTCATGGGAGTCTGAAGAAATATGTTCACAACCGTGTGCTCGCCGAGAAGGAAGCATCGCCAAGGGCTATGGAGCAGAAGAAGTCATTGAGTTACGTGTTGACTTTATTCCGACCTTGACTCGATTGGTGTTCTGAATCGAGACATGAGGGGAGACTAAGCGAAAGGGACACTAGGGAGGAAAATATATATTGGTACTGGCAGATGATTATTTCAATAAAGCGCACTACACAATTTCTGAGAACTCCTCTTTGGTAGATCCGTATATTGAGACACACAAGGATCTCTTACGATCCGAGTTTCGAGGGAAGGCTGAAGCTTGGATTACGCGTAAGCACATGGAAACTTTCGGCGGTTGGTTGCGAAAAAAATGTCAAGGTGATGAGAGCATCCATGAGCAAGCTCAGTATTTATTGGCTATGCAACCATCATGGCATATCGTCACATACAAAGGGTACGAGATAAATGGGAACATATTCTACACGATAGCCCAAGATAAAAGGAGTACCAACCAAAGCAGTGGTGGCGCATAGATGCCACAGACCGAATGGGAATAAGCGGACATATTATGGACGCATAGATG